GTTTTGGTCCTTTTGATGTATGTTGCCAACCACCGCCACTTCTTTTTCTTTTTCTGTCAGATATGATTCAGATTTCTGTCTCATTGCAAAGGAGTCAGCAAGTTGTTTCAGTGCAAAGTTGACAAATAGAACATCTTTTGAAGATTTTCTTTTACAAACTGGACAGTTTTTGTTTTTAGGTTGTTCTCAGGATTTGCTTTTACTTAAATAAAGTATAAACATGACAGAAAGAAGGAGAAATCTGAGTTGTTTTAGTCTGCTGAGGAGGATTTCAACTGACAGATACTAAACCAGTTTTACAACATTTTTGTTTTTCAGCAACTGCCACAGGAAACACTTTCCCAACATGACCTTAACAACAACATCAACATGCATAGAAAATAAAGAAATCTTTTTACATTTTTGATCAAATCCAAATCAAGACTGAACCAAAAGAGAAAGTGTAAAATGCTAAAAAAAAAAAAAAGGGAGCAGTCATGTTTTAATCAAGGTGATACAAAAGTCAGAAACAGACACATTGTTACAAAATGCCTATCCCAGCTGTCATATCAAGACAGTCTAGTCTGCCCCAGGGCCAACACAAGGAGACAGGTGACTGTTTTCACCCACATTCACACCCACGGGCAATTTGAAATGATCAGTTAACTGTTGGAGTAGTTGGTGGAAACCCAGGCAAACAAAAAGCCAGTTGGTGGATTCGAACTCAGGACTTTCTTGCTTCTTGCCACCACGCTACCATATTCAGACACAGTACAAGGTTTAAATGAATGTATCTGCAATATTTTCTGAGATTAGTCTTGATTTTTTTGTTTTACTTGTGAACTAAGGTTACTGAAGCAAATCATATTACATATGAAAAAGTGTCATAGAGTGAAACTAAATTGTGTTATAAGACTGTTTTTCAAGTTCCTGGGTACCACCATCTCCCAGGAGGTGAAGTGGGAGACCAACATCTTAAAAAGACCCAGCAAAGGATGTACTTCCTCAGACAAGTGGGGAAGTACAGTCTTCCACATGAGCTGCTGATCCAGTTCTACACTGCAGTCACTGAGTCTGTCCTGTGCTCTTCCATCACAGTCTGGTATGGTGCAGCCACTAAACAGGAGAGGTGCAGACTGCAGCGGACTGTACAGGCAGCTGAAAAGATCATCGGCGCCCCCTGCCCTCCACCCAGGACCTGCACCTCTCAAGAACCAGGAAACACGCAGGGAAAATCATCACAGACCCCTCACACCCTGGACACAGACTTTTTGACCTGCTGCCCTCTGACAGACGGTATAGAAGCCTGCAGACCAGGACCACCCGACACAGTAACATGTTCTTTCCCCTCACCATCTCCCTCCTAAGTCTCACACTGCTTCACACTGCTAGACTGCAATAGATGTGTGTGTGTATTGAGTCATTTACATATTGTTGTGATCCGGTAGAGACACCATCTACCGGAAACAAATTCCTTGTATGTGTTTGAGCATATACTTGTTCAATAAATGCAATTCTGATTCTGATTCTGTTGAGAAAATATCAACTTTGTCTCCATCTTGTGGTTTTTGCAGGAACAAAACTGTTCACAGTTGCGTCCACATGATCAGGTTTCATTGCAGTACATCCGGAGTCAGTCTTTGGTGAAATTATAAGTAGTGTGCATGAAGGTTGTGCTGTCCATTGGCAGGATGAGATAATTATTAAGCAACAACATTTTTTTTCTGAACATTAAAGAGAAATCTCAGTTTCAGATTTAATTTTTTAATTTTTATTTTAATTTTTGTAATTTTGGAATCACCTCACAACATGCTGGGAAAGGCCTAGCAGAGCAGACAATGTTATTAAAGGAAAACAGAAAATCACCACTTCAGATCCACTGTCCCCTGCATAAATCAAGTCATACTCCCTCCCAGTGTTTCATAGTGCCTGGGACGTCATGGGCCAGATTGTAGCAAAGCCACTCCAGACAGAAGAATAACCAAGTAGAGCACAAGTGGATAAATAGGTGAAAACTACCTGGAGCCATTTCCTTTGACTGTGCTGGGTTCCTCATGTAGTTTGAAGTGACCAACAAAATGTTGGACTTATTATTAGTTGTTTTAGATATTGTAATGTTTTATTGTTTCTGTACTGATATATTGTTTTACTTAGTGATTCATAGTTTTATTCTCTGAAATGTTTTGATTCTATTGGCATGCTGGGAATTCACTCACTTTGTCTGGTGATAGAATGTGTTTACATGTTTGTTTAGTGGGGTTGGTTGGCTTCCTGCAGTTGTCAGATATGTCTTCTCATGTTTTTCCCATTTTTCATACAGTTTTAGTAATGTTTTTAATAAATAGCCAGTTACGGCACTTAATCTGTACTTACTGTTTTGGCTTCTTATTGAAGCCTCTGTGTCATTTACCCTGGTCTTACTGTTTTTATTTATTTATCCTATTTTTCTATTCCTTTTTTTTTTTTTTTTTTTTTTTTTTTTCTAAATGACATCAGAAACAGCAGTATGCGACATTACGTGATGGCAGAGCTTCAGTTCATCCTTTGTCATTTTTTTTTTTTTTTTTAATAAATAGGACAGGGGGAATGAATGAGAGAAAGAGGGGGAGAGAAAGAAAGAAAACCAAAGGGGAGAAGAGACGGTGAGAAGGGGGGGGAAGAGAGAGAGAAAAAAAAGAACTCCTGGGTCACCTGTATGGAGAAAAAAAACAAACAAACAAAAAAACAAACAAACAGAGGAGACAGCAAACAACAAAGAGCAACATAATAATAGAGAAAACAAAGCACCATCACAATAAACTAGCTAGTCATAGATATCAATATTTACTAAATAATAAACGATATTGTGCAGCACGCAAGATAGACAGCGCACAGTGTGCTTTGAGGTAGCAGCCAAGAAAGCTTTAGTCCGCGTCTGTGAATACCCATGTGTGCATACCTGTGTGGATCAGCATGCTTGCATTCCAAAGGTTTCTCCATGTAATGATCTGCTAGGGAGTGTGGGGGGGCCACAGCCCCGTCCTCCAGGGTGTGAAGCGGGTATGGAGGAGATCAAAACTCCAGACATCCAGAGGCCCCCAGAACACAAGAGACCATGGAAGACCAACAGAGGGGCAGCCGCGCCACTGTTCCAGTAAGAGCTGAGGAGAGTCCCAGATGAGGGCTCACCCAGCAGCCGCGGAGCAGAAGTCAGGGGGAGTTGCAGTGACGCGCCCGTGAGCTCCGCCGGCCCCCAGCTGTGCCTGAGTGACCGAGCCCCAGGCCGAGGGGCCGGGGGCACCCCACTTCCAAAGGGGCCCGAGCGAGCCCCAGGCCCCAGGCCCCGACAAGCGGCCGCCAAGGAGTGTTCCTTTCAAATGTGTCTGCTAGTGGATCTCTGTGACCCCGGATGAGGCAAACAGAAACCTCTAAGTTGCTCTAATAAGTTTTCTTTGTCATGTACTGTGTGCAGTAGGCAGGAATGGTGGAACAAAAGGTGAACTTCTCCTGTCAAATACTAAAGTTGTTCCATAAACTACTCGTGTTTCATGCTTGTCTCTGTGCAGTGTGGACCACAACAACACAAAATCACCTAAATTGATTTTTGTTTCACGTTACAGAGGCAACTTGCTGAACAGTTCTGTGATCAATATTCTAACATGTTAGCTAAAAATAAAATAGAAATGAGAGTTATAATAACTTTTGATTCACTGAAACACTGAAACTCAGAGTGAAGTGTAAAAAATAAAATTAAAGCCTTATTATAAAACATCAGAAGATCAAACTATCAGAGATGGCTGCCTGCTGCTAGTGGGGCAGAATTTGTTTTTAGCTCGTTCCCTGAATCTTCTCAGGCAGCTTAAACAGAAGCTATGATGGCATCTCAGAGACACAGGATCTCCCAAAGTCTCACAACAACATACATGGCAGCATGTCAGGAAAATTCGTTTTGCAGTCCTGTTTAGGCGTTAAATGTTTTTAAAGAAATATTATAAAATCTGACCTTCAGCTGACATCTCTGCAGCTTTGTTCATACAAACTATTTCCAGCTCTGTGTAAATATTTCTGTAGGATACGTCTGAATTTTATTTTTACTCTTAAACAACATATGTTAGAGTTTATAAACATACAGGTGTGAGAATGTAAACTTCAGCAACATTTGCATTTGATTTCTGTGAGGATCAGACCAAAGTGAGAATCAGTGACTCCATCAAAGCAAACTGCACAAGTCTTCTCTGATATGCAGTTTAAGAGAGCTGAGGTTACATGTGAATGTTTGTATTTACAAACCAACAGAAGTAAATGATCATTTATTCTAAAGAGTCAGTAAATGTTTACACAACAATCAAAGTGAAGTTTCATGTTAAATAAATCTGAACCAATGACTGAATGTGTCTGAAAGCTGATTTACAGTCAAACACAACAACAACAGAATCACTGAATCTGATTTATTTCACTTCACAGAGACATTTTGTGATTTTCAATAATCAACTGAAATGAAGATGCTGCTGAAGTAAACATATTGTAATTTTATCTGTTTAAACATTTTTAACCTGCTGATGAGACACAAATCAAAGGTAGGTGATTCATTGAAACACTGAGACTGAGAGTGAAGTTTGAAAATCAAATTAAAACCTAATTATGAAACATGAGAAGATCCAGAAATCTTTCAAACTGTGAGAGATGTCAGCTTCTGATTAAGGTTAAAAACAACTCAAGAAATAACATTTTTAATGAAATCAATCAAGTGTAGTTACACTGATGAGACAGCGTCACAACTTAGAAGTCATTTCTTTGAATTTGGAAAACGTTAAAGTAGACATGTTACTATAAAATGTTATTTAACTGAAAACAAGACGCTGATATTCAAGAAATTTAGAACTTGTAGTTGTAAAGTTGACTCTTGCTGATGTTTAATCATGAATCCTTCTTTTAAGAAGTGTCACAGTTTGCTGTTCACACTCAACAACTTTGAAAAGCAAAGAAATCATCATTCAGATTTTAAAACTATCAAAAGTATTTACATGAACAACATGAGAAATATTCTGAAAATATTAATTTAAAAGAAACAAGAAAAAAATGTAATAATTTCTTACAGAAACTCGAGTGGGTCACAAGATTTTCACATGAAAAAGTTGCTTTGGTTTCATTGAATTGCTAATAGTTCCACTAGAACAACAAAATGAAATAAAACCTGATAATGAAGTTAGACAGTGTGATTAATAATTTCCCTAAAATTAACCCTGCTGCTGTACTGAAAAAACAGTTAAAACAAAGAATCACTTTACAATCAAATCTCAGTTTGACAGATTTTGATATCAGAGGTTTTGGCGTCTCCTGCTTCTCCAATACTGAAAAATGGGAAGAGTTTCTCAGTGAAAGTGTCTCTGTGAGTGTAGATGTGAGTCATGTCTTCAGTGTCATAGAAGGACACCTCCCCCCTGTCATAGTCCTGCTGGACTCTGATCCTCTGGAGACTCTTCTTCACTGTCACAGTCTGACCATCACCATTAGTGTATTTTCCAGCTTTATGTGTTAAACACCAGAATCCATATTTAGGTGAAGCAAAAAGCTCTCCCTTCCTGTCAACAGACTCTTTAACTAAACCTATATTCCAGTCAGGATGGTCTCCCACCTCCACCTCCCAGCTGTGTTTCCCTGAGCTGAAGCCCTCAGAGCCAAAAACAGTGGGATACTTAGTGTTTCTCTCTGGATTATAGGGAAGCTGCTGCTTTGTGTCTCCATTCCTCACACTGGTCAGATCATCAGACAGATAGAGCCAGCGGTTTGCAGTGTTTGGGTCCAGAATGACAGGACTGAAGTGGACCTTCTCCTTCATCTTCTCCCACACTCTGAAGGACAGGTTGCCCAGGTGTTTGGCCACATCTATCAGTGCTCCTGAGACCAGCTGTGGATCTGACACTGAGCTCTGGGCTCTGGCTCTGCTCTGAGTGTCTTTATAACTGCTGAGGAATGGCACGCTGTGTTTCTGCAGCTCTTCTTCAACAGCAGAGATGCTGTCTGACAGAGAGGAGATCTGCTCCTCAATCATCTTCATCTCTCTGCTGATAGTCCTCCCCTTCTGCTCCTCTTCCTCCCTCAGAGCTGCCAGTCTGGACTCCTCTTCCTCTTTCAGGAACTGCTGGAGCTTGTTGAACTCTGCTCTGATCTGCCGCTCTGTAGACAACAGCTGCTTCTTGGAGTGTTGAATCACTTCATTGTATGTTTCCTCCACTTGTTTGTATTTGTTCCTCTTGTCCTGCAGAGACTTTAAGTCAGATTTCAGCTGCTCCTTCAGGTCACTGACTGCTTCTTCTACAGGAACCACTTTGTGACTCTGGTGGAGAGAAAAGTCACACACAGGACACACAGCTCTCTGCTCGTCCACACAGAACAGTTTAGGCACTTCCTCATGTTTACTGCACACCACTGTTGATGATCCAGATTTCTGTCTCCCAGCAAATGAATCAGCAAGTTCTTTCAGTGTAAAGTTGGCAATAGGACGATCCTTTGAAGATTTTCTTTTACAAATGGGACAGTTTTTGTTTTTAGTTTGTTCCCAGAATTTCTGCAGGCAGCTTGAACAGAAGCTGTGGCCGCAGCTCAGAGACACAGGATCTCTGAAAGTCTCTGAACACACATGGCAGCTCAGGAAATTTTCAAGAAGAGCTCTCTCAGCCATTTGATCTTTAAGTATTTTTAACTCACCAAATTAGTGTCTCTTGAACTTTCTGGTAAAAATCCTCCAAACGTGTGTTTTTCAGCAGAGATCTGACTCCCTGTAATGGCGTCTCAGCTCAGTTCAAAAGTGTCGGAATTTACTTTCATTTTCATGAATCACGATCACGTGTTAAACTGAAACATGCACATAACACTTGTGTCCGTCAGAGGGCGCTGTCACAGTCATTCAGATAGTTTTCAGTTTGTGCTCCTTAAAACGACACAAAAGTGAAAAATGTAGAAAATTTTGACTTCTCCTTTTTAAAAAACGAAACCTAAATAGAACATAAAAATGACACAAAGAAGGTGAAGCTGTGGTGTTTCAGAAGTTCAAGTAGGAAAAGTCAGCATGTTCTCAGAGTTCTTATCTGCAGTTTGAACTAAAGTTTTCGTTGCAGCCAAAGACAGAATTTTGGATTGATCACAGGGTTTAGATTGTCAACATGCCAGACCTCTGCTCTCACACTCAAAACAAAGAAACATTCTTGACCCTCATGAACATGAAGCAATAATTCTGAGTAAAATGCAGCTGAAATACATAAAATCAAAGGTTTATTTTTTTTTCAAATAATACATCATTAAAATATGCTTGTTATAAACTAAATGTATACCAGTAAAGTTAATTTCTTTGGACCAGATTCAATCAAAGATGACTGTATTACTGTAAACTGACTACATCCTGTAAGCAGTTCGAGTTCAGGGAAACAGGATCTCTGAATGTCTCTGAACACGTTACAGTTCAGGAAAGTTTCTATACTCATCAAATGTCACATCTTTACAGCTTGTACCTTACAGTCCTTCAAGGAAGCAAAGTTCTTTTAGAGAATTCACCTGTTGTAATGGTGTTCTAGTTTATTAATAACCACCAAACACAATATCTGCTTTTACTACCTGGGCTTTGGCCTCAAACCTGCATAAGAGTTTAGACCTTTAGACTCCAACTTCCAAGTTTGTCATGAACTGAAATGTGATGAGCTGACCAGTGTTAGAGATGTCACTGAAATAATAATGAAAAACAAAGAGAAAAATCACAGCGAACAGACCAGAAATGCTAATAATGCAAAAATAAACAAAACTGATATAAACTGTTGATATGACATAATATGACACTGAACTGTGACAACACAGAAGAATTTACTGTCACATGTCACAAATCAGATTCTGGTCAAAGTCATGTTTAAGGTCCTACTGCCTCAAAGTTGTCAATCACATCCACTTTCTTAAAAAAATAATTAAGATAAAAACAACAACAACAACAACAACAACAACAACAACAACAACATTGTAGAGCTCTTATAAATGCATTAAATGAAGCCAATGAAAGAAAAAATACAAAAAGTGAAGTGTTCAATAAATCAATACATAATATGACACAATAAGGATCTTATGTCTAAACTGAGTACAGGGATTGTGGTGTGAGGTGTAGATTTTCTGTATCCTTGTGTCAGTGAAGCTGAAACAGTTGTTGAAGGAAGTGTTTATCTGCAGGTCCAGTAGGAGATGCAGAGGATGGTTTGGGTCCATTATCCACAGCAGCAGTCATCAGGATGGAGGGATCCAATCAGGTTGTATAAACCGAATTAATGAAATATTCAGTTGTTTATTTTATTTTTTACAATCCTAACCTCATTACTTTCACCAAATAAAATATTTTACGCAACGTGGAGCAATGTGTGTATGGTATACCGATTATTGGCCATGATTGTAGCATAACTATCCACACAAAACACAGGCTTTATTCAGACCATGACATGTGAATTAAGACAATAACTATGGTGTTATACTTGGTTAGAGTTGTAGGGACTCCCAAAAACTTACTTGAGGTGACCGTTTTTGTGATCTGACACTATATAAAAAATGAATTGAACTGAATTCTCTCTTTCAGTAACTCAGAGACCAGTTTCCCATGAAAAATCTGTTTTCTGCATTATTCGCTTGTTTATTACGCACCAGTCTACAGTTGTGTTCAGTGCTTTTGTTTTTTCAAAATTGGCCTCTGACAAGAAAGTTTCATTTCTGTTGTTCAATACTGAAGAAATATAAACTCTTACAAATTATGCCAAATTACAAAAATCTTAGCTGTGTCTCTAATAAAACCTCTGTAACTTTGCTCTGCTTCACTTCAGCAACATCAGGTAATGTTCATATTTTGATTCATGGTGTTCTTGTGTTTTTGTTCTACTGCAGAATATTTTAAGAGTGTTGTGTGCTGTAGACAGCCAGGCCAGGAAAATCTCCTTCATATTTTCCTGTGTTTTATCCTCAGTTACACCTTTGATAAAGTCTCGCAAGTGTCAGCTTTGTTTTAATACACAGATATAAAAATATGGATAAATGTACTGATAAATGATCATAATTATAATATTTCTGACGGTTGGAGTCAAAATTGAATTGAGCTTGAGTCGAGCTTTAATCGACTCAAATCGGGACCTCGTGAATCGGCATCGAAGCAGTTATAGAAATAGAAATCGATACCCTGCCCTAGTGTGAACAGAGTGTTTGTGGTGGCAGGCTGGACACCAGAGCTACAATTGTTAAAAACACTGGGTTATGTGTTGATGTCACTTTTGTGTGGTTTTGACCTTTTTGTAGAGCAGTGTCTGCTTTACACGCGCTGTGACAGTTTCACGCTCTCGCAGGTAGCTCTCTGTGCTCGGAGAGACATCCTGCTCACGCGAGTAAATTTATTTTTATTTCTCTACAGGAACTTTGTGTTAAAGGGTCAACGCACCAAAAAAGGGTTTTGATAAGATTTGATTGCTCGTGCAAGACAGAAACTAGTCAGGGTGATTAATAATGAGCACAAGTTAAATGAGCTTATAACACTAAATTAGCTTTATTAGTCCTGCACAGAACAGACTGATCTTGGATTCTCTTAAAGTCTCTTAAAGAAGTAAATTATGAAACTGAAGATTTCTGATTCTTAAATAAAATCTAAATCTTAAAGAAACAACCTAGCTGTGGGGTTTAGAACAAATGTAAGGATAAGTGTGAGCTACTTAACCTCAACTGATCATGTTGATGTTTTTCTGTTTTTATTAAAGATGGCTGCTTTTCATTTGAAACGTTTCTGGCTCTGGTCTCTTCATTGTGCTTTGCTCCATCACTCCTCAGAACCATGAACTAGTCCAGCAGCTTATATATCTATTTTACAGCGACATCAGTGCTACAACTGGTTCAAGAAAACAGTGTCAGCCCAACAGGAGTATTTAAAAACCATCAGAATCAAATGTTCTTTTCTTCTAAGGAATCAATTAAATGTAAAAACAACAATAAAAGTAGAAACTTCTGTGATGAATGCATTTGAACTAGGGCTGTCTAAATTAACTCATTAACGCAGATTAATCCATCATCATGATTAATCTGATTAACATTTTTAATGCAGTTAACCCATCTGAAGAGCAGAATGACTCAAAATCCCTGGAATGTCTCTGTCAACTCATTTCGGGCAGTTTGTCCAAGTAGAATCAAATGAGCAGTTGATCTGGTGACGGGCAGCTGAACCAACCAACTCAATATGCAAGATGACAAACAGCACGTTGGCCCTCTCAATGGGAAATCTGAGTATAAAAACAACAAGACTGAACAGTCGAGCGACATAAAGTATTATGCGCATTGTGCAGGAAAGAATTGTTTTCACCAAAGCACTTCCAGCTCAAAATATCACATTAACGCGAAGCATACGTTAGTTGGGGATGCTGCTAGCACAAATTGACTGACACAATTGCCAAGTGGATTGCAACAAATTGCAGACCTATTAATTTCGTTGAGGACACGGGCTTTACAAAGGTTTTGCAAGTTGACTACTGGACTGTGAGTAACAGTAACTATCTTGGTGTTACTGCATATCTACTTACTGCTGCATAGGAATTAAAGTCGTTTGCATTGAGAATAATGAAGACAGAGGAGCGTCACTTTGCAGAGGCATGTGCTGAACATTTGTTAACAGTGGCACATGAGTGGGAAATTGAAGGAAAAATCACAACTGTAGAGTGTTCTCAGTTGCAGGCAACAACATTGTAAATAAGAAGCGGTCAGCTCTCCTCTCGGACATTGTCAACAAGTTAGTCTTAGTAACAGGGCCACATTGATGTTGATAAATGTTTAGAGTTATTTGTTAACATGAATGTTCAAGATGTTCAATAAGCATGTTAAGTGCATATGTATTCCCTTTTTTCTTGAGTCTGTTTGCTCATGCAAAATGAAATGCGATTAATACCGACTAAAAATTTCAGGATGAATGGAACAGACTCGGGCGCAGACTGAGAAACACAGTTTAACTGAGCTTTATTAACCACACCGGGTGCTCTATATACACGCGGGGGGAAAGGGTCCACAGGGTAGGTAAACACAAGGTCCTCACACACGCTCCACGCTGAACAGCTCCACTCGCACTCAGGGGTCCAGGGTCACAGCTCTGAGAAATCTACACACAAACACAAAAGTTACTCGTAGGTACGCACAAGAAATGATTGCTTTCTACAGAGCCAGTCAATACTAACTAGAGTTACTTCATATTCCAGCGAGGAGTAGCTCAGCGCCCCTGCCTTATGAAGAGTCAGCAAACAGTTGTGAGGAATCATCGGTAATCAGCTGCAGGTGCGTCGGCCAAGGACAGGCACAAGGACCATGAAAAAAAATGAATGATATTTAATTGTGATTAATCAAAATTAATCCACAGCAATCCTGTGATTAATCTGATTACAAATTTTAATCATTTGACATCACTAGTTTGAAATAAATAAAACTACATGCTGGGTTAAATGTCTGAAAGATGATTTTCAGGAAAAACAAACAAACAAACAATAAAATCACTGCAGGTGCTGATGAGTAAAATATTAATCAACCATAGACAATATGTTTGCTAATAAGAAGAAAGTTTAAAAAACAACCAAATGTTTATGATAAAGCTTTGCCACTGTAACTTTTCCCTCATAAGAAAATGTTGACTTTATAATGAAATCTCAGTCTGACTTGATATCACAGGTTTTTGCATGTCTGCAGGGTAAAAAAAGATTCAATTGGCAAAAAGAATAAATGAAGTTTTACTGACTTTTAGTTAATCACTCATCTTTCTCTGATAATTATAGTAACTCAACATTTCTTAATAACTCCTGACAAAATATTTATTTAGACCCACTGTTTATGGAAATACAAGGAAAAGATGTTTTATTTGTCTATCTAAAATATTTACAGATGAACTTGGCTCAGTCTTAATGCTCTTTTTTACCTGTTAAGTCATTCCTAACATTTAACGATTTACATTAAAAATGTGAGAAAGTGGAAATAAAATGTTTAAAAAACCATGTTTCCATAAATGAAAATACAAACTTTGTGTCCATGTTGTGAGTAAAAATAATATACGAATAAAACACCAATATAAGTTGGAGTCACGTGTTGAGCTGAAAGACGAACATATTATTTGTATGAAAGTTTCATTAAGAAATGTATGTATTATATGAACTTTGTCTCCATCTTGTGTGTAAATATAATATACAAATAAAACATCACTATTATAAAGCTGCACCTTCATCTGAAATCTCTGCAGCTTTGTTCATACAAACTATTTTCTGAGTTTGGATGCAGTCATTTGGATGGAGGAATCCAATCAGGTTGGTGACTCAGCAATGATGAATTCTGTCATCAAGCACCACTCCCTGTTAAAAAATATTAACATACAATTACTGTTTTTTAGATAAATGCACCTGTGCAGTAACTGCTAGGAAATTAAAGACAAACATATTTATAGGAAACAACTGTAATGCTTTGAAGAGCTTAACACACGAGAAGTTAAAGGAACTGAAAATGTGTTGAAAGAAAAGGCAGAGGGTTTGGAGAACACGTGAAACAAGATTCAGCTGGACAGAAGTTTATTAAAGAGAAATGGGTTCTCCTCCAAGTTTTGTTCAGTAGATTTCACTTACAGATTCTCTCTAGTGATGTGAAGTCTAGAAGGTGTCTGCTCACAAAACTCATTTAACAAATATTTTGATCATTCATTTAAAGAAACAGCAGTGCACTGAAGACAGTACTGCAGGGCCGTGCAGAGAGGTTTAAAGGGGCGGGTGCTCAAAGTTAAAAAGGGGCACATTGAACCAGGTTGAATAACAACAACACACATTCATCAAGAATCTAATATGGGAAGGGCAGGGCTGTGTTGATCTGAGACTGTAGGCATTAAAAAGTCCATAGGAGAGATGGTAGCTGATTAAACAAGTGTCATGAGATAATAACAAAATGCAAAGATTGGTGACAGCACTTGGAACCATAAGGCAACAAAAAACTGTGAGAAATAATTTAGGCTCTGCCTGTGAATCACTCTTTGCTTCTCTTCTTCCTTCCATCCCATCATTTCATATATCACTCTCCACTTGCTGTCTATCTGAGAACAAGGCACAACTTGTTATTGCAATAAACTATAATCTAATTATCCACACCTAACAACTCCAGCACTTAATCTATAATAAAATGATGACAGAAAAATGTTATAGCACTGCCTTTAGTAGCCTCACACAGCTCCTACTGTTTCCTCCTCATGTCCTTACCAGCCATGTCTGGACAATGTTATATCATGAGTAATATTTTTTTTTAAAAATCCATCTAAATAAAACACACACATGCACACACAGTGACATGTTAGACCTTCTTCAGAATACTGTATATACTATGGGCATCATGGTGCTGATCCAGAATCCTTACATTATTATTTATTACTAGAGCTACAATAATAAAGCAAAGAGGAGGGGGAAGTAATAAATATGAAATAATGTCATTATGATGATTCCATTTGTTTCACTATCCACTCTGTGCAGGGCAAAGCTTATTACATCTTTAAACTGTAGAGATACAATCATTTTACTGCTGTAAAATCCAAATTTTGTCTTATTTAAAATATAAATCTAATATAATCTGCTTCTTAATGTATGTTCTTTAAAATACAGCGTGTGTTTTTTAAAATATTATAATAATGCATAATTATGTGGACATGCATATTAGATCGTTTTTTAGTGAAATATAATCCCTCCAGAAAGGCAGGAAAAGCCCGGAAACTTACTTTAAAACTAAATATGTTCCCTAAAACGGTGACAGAGCTACAGACCCATGACAGCCTTACACAGGTAGCCAGCAGCTATGACCAGCACTACCTGTGCAGTTAATAAAAGGACAGGTAATGTTTGCAACAAGACAACTTACCAACGTGTACGTAATAAGCTAATACTCCTGGGTGCTACACACTACAGTGTGCGCTGTACACCTACTTACTGGTTTTGTCGCATCAGTCTGTGTCTCTGAGTTAACTTGTGTTTCTCCTACAGCTCCGGACCGCTAAAAATGCGCGTGCTCTTTGTGAGCTCGTTCCCGGCTCGTAACCAGCGCGTTCTGCCGTCAAGGGCGATCATTGGTTAAATGTGATCATGTGACTGATGCAAGCCAGATCCTTTTATTTAGCAAAACTGTGATTAATAGTTAAATATTATTGTTGAGGGGCACAGACAGGACTCCGCACCCACACACACATTAAAAAAAAAATAATAATTTTTTTTAAAAAGTTGCCTTATCAAAAGGGCACTTTGGGCACCCATCAGGAAAGGGGCGGGTGCTCAAGCCCCTCTAGCCCCCCCTCTGCACGTGCCTGCAGTACTGTTACCAATAGAGTCAGTGTAAACAGATAAGTGCCGAGATAATGCTACAATGCACTGACTAACATGTCTAAGAAACCACAGTATCAATGTTAGGTTGCACAGTAAATGCACAGAGTCACATATAACTGTGTTAGGCCATTGATAATAATTTCATATTCATCATATAAATGAATTTATGAAACACTGCACTAATTTAGGATTAATAAAAAACATTCAAAAACATGTTTTTTTTTTATTCTGGAGAGATCACTGCATTACAAGAATGTGTACTCGATTAGTCTTTTCACTAGGCTGATGCTAGTACACTCTTAGAAAGGATGTGTTAAAAATGAAACAAAGAAATATGTTATTGCAGTAGTAACAATCTTTTTTTGTGAATTTTAACATAGCATGTAAAAAAAATGTGTAAAAATCTTAACAGTTATTTTCAGAATCCAACCAACAACAGGACAGTTCTTCGTAGTTATATTTTTCAGCAGGAGATCTCACACTTTGCAGTGGAATTTAAAATCAGATTTCAGCTGCTCCTTCAGGTCATGACTGCTTCTACAGGAACCACTTTGTGACTCTGGTGGAGAGAAAACTCACACACAGGACACACAGAAAAGTTTAGGCACTTCCTGTTGAATTGTCTATTTTTCGTAGTTGTATTTTTCAGCAGGAGATCTCACACCTTGCAGTGGAATTTAAAGTCTGTTTGACAGTGTGGAAATGTTTTCATTCATGACTGTTAAAAGCAAGTCAACCAGCAGATGGTGTTGTCGTAATACAATCTTAGAAGATCTTGGCAGTTTTGTTTCCATACAGAAAGAAAATGAAAGAAGAAAATTATATGTTGAGCTCTCAGGATTTGCTTTTACTTAAGTAAAGTATAAAAATAACAGAAAGAAGGAGAAATCTGAGTTGTTTTAGTCTGCTGAGGAGGATTTCAACTGACAGATACTAAACCAGTTTTACAACATTTTTGTTTTTCAGCAACTGCCACAGGAAACACTTTCCCAGCATGACTTTAACAACAACATCAACATGCATAAAAAATAAAGAAATCTTTTTACATTTTTGATCAAATCCAAATCAAGACTGAACCAAAAGAGAAAGTGTAAAATGCTAAAAAAAAAAAAAAAAAAAAAAAAAAGCAGTCATGTTTTAATCAAGATGATATAAAAGTCAGAAACAGACACATTGTTACAAAATGCCTATCCCAGCTGTCATATCGAGACAGTCTAGTCTGCCCCAGGGCCAACACAAGGAGACAGACGACCGTTTTCACCCACATTCACACCCACGGGCAATTTGAAAATCATCAGTTAACTGTGGGAGTAGTTGGTGGAAACCCAGGCAAACAGAAAGCCAGTTTGTGGATTCGAACTCAGGACTTTCTTGCTTCTTGCCACCACGCTACCATATTCAGACACAGTACAAGGTTTTAATGAATGTATCTGCAATATTTTCTGAAACTATAGTCTTGATTTTTTTGTTTTACTTGTGAACTAAGGTTACTGAAGCAAATCATATTACATATGAAAAAGTGAAAATAAATTGTGTTATAATACTGTTTTTCAAGTTCCTGGGTACCAGAGGCGGAGCCAGACATTTGAAACACCCGGGGCTTAGCCCTAAAGGGTAGTATGCATGTGGAATTATTATTTTTTTTTGGCGGGGGGGAGGGGGGGGGGGGGGGTTGGGTGAGAAATGACTGAAAGATTAATAGGCTCTGTTTTGAGTTTTGTTCAAAAAAGAATGACTTCATATAGGGAAAAATATATATCACATGTGCAGGACACCTTAAACTAGTTTTTTAATTAAGCAGCAAGGCAGAACACAATCGGGGCTGTATCAAGACATGAGGACTAAACCCCAATTCAACCAGACCCAGAACTGATCCGGAATTAAAACAGGACTACAAGAGTTCAAAATCAGGACTACCGAGGATTTAACCAAGACAGAACCAGAATCAGAACTAGATGATAGTAGCACTAAAAATCATCATAGACCTGCACTACACTTATTTTTTTAATTCTACCAAAGTCCACTATTTAGATTTAGAAAAGTTTATATAATTATTTAGCCTTGTTGTGCAAACAAGCCTGCATAACTTAATAAATGTAGAATTTGAAAAATAGCAAACCTAAAAAGAAACACTAGGTACGAGATACATGAGTACCTGTGATACGGTGATACTTTTGGTAAACAATCATTTGACTAACATGTGTGTCTCACCTGCTCTTGTTCATCTCTGTTCTGTCCTCATTCTGCATCTCCCTCTCTGTTCCTCTCTCTCCCTCTTTGTGCTGACAATCATCAAATATACAGTTGAAACCAGATATTTATGTACTCTTCAGATCAAAACACAAACACTTTTTTAATTGTAACATCAAATCAGACTAAATGTTTATTTTTTTAGATTGATAAATATAAAAAACATATTTGTTAACTTTAAGAGTAAAGAGAGAAACTGTCTGTATTTCTTAATTGCAAATGGCACCAAATTGTATTCAAAACTGAGCCACACTTATGGAGCTCCACAGTTGTCTTCCTGGTGTTTTGGTTGACATCTCTTGATTTTCCCATGTCAAAGAAACAGGCTCTGTGTTTTGCCTTATATGCATCCACAGCTGTGCCACCAATTTACTCACATGGACTCTACTAACCTATCAGAAGCTTCTTCAGCTCAGAATGGAATCATCTGGAGTTTTCTTATTAATTAACAAACTTAGTGTATATGTACTCCTAAAATTGATCAAAGTGATAAAAAATAGACAGCTCTGTCTCTCTTTATTCTGACATTTAACTAATTCAAAAGATATTTCAATATTTATCTAAAACAAAAGTTTAATCTAAATTGATGTTGTACAGTAAAAATGTTTCATGTTTTCTCCCTAAAGTGTATGTAAATATCTGGTTACAAATGTGAATATCCTGCTGTGTACTGAAATCCCTCTTGTTTTGCATAGAAATATAC